TGAGATAGCGGCTGCTCCTTGAAGAGTATGGCATCCTGCAGAGCCTTCGTTTTTATTATGATTGGTCTTAGATCGTAGTATCATCACTATGATCAATTGCCTACAGTGGACACGTTTTTGGAATGAATCATCGGACTATAGCTATTTAAGGTGCTATCGTTTCTAGAGAGCAAAAGCTGCCTGAATGCTCAATTACAATTTTTTCCATACATTCTCAATAGTTAGACTTATACGGTCGTCGGTGCTTAGATAATAATAACTTAAGACGTTAGGTAACTAGAATTAAATCAAATTCATCATATGTTCTTTTCAGATATCATATTGGGTGCACCAATTTCCGGAGTTCTATTTTCAAAAAATGAAAACTGATGAAATAAGGCAAAGAACTATCCTGTCGCTTCTGCATATCTGTTTCATAGGAGCTGCCTACATTATGAAGTGAGTTTTCTGTAAATTGTTCCTGCAAAGTGAAAGTCACTTCAAAATTTTTTTTTAGTTTTATGCGGTTTGCAGTTGTCCTCTTGGCTCTCGAATATGCTTCACAAACAATTTTCCACTTCTCCCGACTCATTCATTTCCTTGAGAAAAAAGAGCTTGCCAAAAATGGGTATGTCTTTGTTTATCGTTCTATGTACTACTTCTGTCATTCTAAACTGATAACGGAATCTGATTCTGCATTGCTGAAATTTGCAAACAGTTAGTTGGGAGGAAAACTTTGACAGAAACGAAAAGGGTAAAAGTGGTTCTGGCCGAGCCAATTTCCATCTCAAATGTAGTTTTCTTGGTTATCTCTCATTCATGTATGAAATTTCCCTGTTAGCGGGCTTTCGCGAAGTGAGACAATTTCGGGAAAATGGTTTTTTAGTTTCGTTGAAAGAAATTTGAAAATTGAAAAGTGACACCCATGATTGCTTTTGCGCCCTTCCGTTGAGCTATCAGAAGCGAACTGATCACGGGAGCTGTTATCTTCTACGAGCGCCTTCGCAGCAGAAGCACACAGACGACAGCAGCGTTACAAAGCAACGGTGCTATCACAAATTTACGGTCGCTTGGCCTTAGGTTCAGCTCTTCACCTGGAGGCATTACCTTGTAAGGCTATTCCAAGTCTTGCTTTGCTGCTGCACCCATTTATAGTGCTTGCTCAAAAATAGAGACCGCTTTTTAAGAAGTCCCAGCTGTAGAAGTTAGTTGAGTTTACGATTTAAAAAAAAAGTTACCTCATTGATTCTCTTACCGCTAGCTCGACGGTGGTTTTATAACAGCTAGAAAAATTAAAGACGTACGGCTCACAATACTGTAGCGACAGTTCCTTTGGGTGTAAGTCTGTCTCATCTAGGCAAAAAATATTATCTGAAAATGAGCTCATAACTGGAGTGTTGAGTCGTTGCCGATTCATTACTGACGTTATGAGCATCTGCAGTATACCCTATAGCTCAATTTCCTGGCTGTGCCCGGCTGGTTCAGAGTTCAGGCCGAAGATCTCGTAGTTTCAAATTAAATTCTTTTATCGGGGCGCTCTTCAGCTTCTGAGAGTCCTAGTAGGAAAACTTTGATGAATTTTGGCTTAAAAAATGGCTGTTCATATGCAGTATGTCAACATACTCCTATATCTTAATCGCTAGCAATTTGTAGCCGAAACTCAGAGGCCATCAAATCAATCAAAGCAGTAGATATTGTTGTGAGTAGTGTCACCGTAATTAGCGTGTGGACAAAACAAGATTTGCGATTGCTTTTGCTGATCAGTTGATTAACACTCTTTTCATCCGGGGTAGTGATGTAGTCCACCAGTTTCTGGTACTCCAAAGCGGTGCAAGAAATTGATAAGTTAGTATGATTTATTGATTTCTTGCATTTCTTTCAATCGATTATCATATTCTTATCAACATTTCGACTTATCCCATGCACCAATTTTTGGTATCTTGTAGCGGAAAGCATTAATAGACTGTAAAAACAATCGGTCTTCAAATGGTATCATCCGTGATCAGCATGTCAGCTTACCCCAGTGTAGTTTCCAGCAGCCTATGACATAAAATAAAATAAAAATAGTAATTCGGTTAAACTATTCGCTGTTTTTAAATAAAGTGGCTTATATATCCGCCGAAATGTGTAGCGAAAGGCGTGGAGAATGCTTGTGGAGAGACATCGCATCTTGTTCAACTTTTGCACTTTTTGCCTTGATATAATTGAAGGATGAGCTGCTGCTCGGGGCCCAAAAAGAAGCGCGGGGCAGAAAGTTGTAGTGTCAAAAACACGGAAGCATTTTTACAGGTCGTGGCCCTCCGCATGCCTCCCATGTACCGTATTATATATGTGCAAAATTTGCCTGTGATGAACAGAAATTTGTCTTCGAAACATACAAACATAGATGTACAAACAAGCAAATAGACACAGTGAAAATCATAAGTATAACAGGATTGTAAGCGTGATATACCATTTGAAAGTGCTATTACTTACGTCGATAGATTTTTCAGGGCTACAATTCTTTGTCTTTTTCCAGGTTTACTATTTGGAACATCGTTTTTCTCATAGTCCGCCTGGCATCCTCGGTGCTGACGGTCATGACTTTTTGGTATGGTCTTCGCCAGTCAGAAACGGCTTACATAGATATAACTAGCGGGAACTACAATACCACTTACGTTCGGTAAATCTTTGCTCCAAACGATTCACTACGACTGACCTTTCACATTGTTGTTTTAGCTTAAACTGCTTGCTGGCGGTTTTATCTCTGCAGTTGTTCCAGTTATGGAACTTCACTAGCTTTCATATTGGACGGTTCAAGTGCGTTTTATAAGTCTTGCTCTCATTTACTGTACCCTCGAATGTCGTTCTTTTATTAAACTCTTTGGCTGTATCTTACATTTCAATGCAGATCTTCTTAGGGAAAGTTCCAGTCGCAAGACAAAATCTGACTCCAAGCGACTCTTACCTCAACCCAAGGGCAAAAAAATTAAATCCGAGGAGTCAGTTTCGGTAAGTTTGTTTTATTGACTCAAATGTTTTCAAACACTACTTTTGTTGTATTAGGAGAATGAACAAAGTGAAGATGCCGATGGAAATGTTAAGAAGGGCAAGAAGAAGACAAATTGATCCAATTTATCTCTTTTTGAATTTGAGGTGTCTGCTAAAGCCATTAAGAAGCAATTACTGCTGTTTTCCAGAAGTATCCCGTTTATTGTAACTTATTGTTGAGTCTATCACTGTTTCATTTAGTTGTACCGTTGTTATCTGGTGGGTAGATTCCATTCTTCTTTTGTGATATGTCATAATCGAGTTCTGAGTGGAGATTGCAACTTGATTGTGCGGAGCAAGCTTGAAGCAGTCAGAGTTTTAGCTTAAGTATCGCTCATTTCCACTCATCGCATTTAGGTGTCCTTTTCTTTCTAGGCTTTAGATCATGTTAATCGTCCACTATATCAACTTTTATATGCACTCCTTTTTTTTATCACGGGATTTATAGTGGTTGCACAATTTTTATGGCTAAAGTAGTGTAACTTTTCTTCCGAATTTAATTTATTGAACTGGTGTTCTCGTGTGATTGTTTTATTTATCTGCTTATGCACTACTGTAATAAATATATGAACATCAAAGGAGCATGGATAATGGGGTTTGTATGCGGATGCAAAGTGTACCACTCATCAACATACATTATTCGGAATGGTCCATAGACTGATATAGTTTTTGCTTAAGCGAAATGTCTGACGTCAGGTTATGACATCTCCATGGTGCCGTAACACATGTTTGGCTGTCTGCACTGTAAACAACTGGGCTTTGGATTTCGAGGGGAACCTTCAACGCATATTAAAAAGTCAGTCGTGTGCGTATAGTTCGAAAAGTTTGTTTAGGAAGAGTGCCTTCGAAAGTGAATAAGATAAAAAGACGCAGTGGAGTCATCTGTTGTTTATCTATTCCATCTCTATTCCAACAGCTTGCGAGGAAGCGAATCGGGAAGGAGCTCGACTGAGGGTTGGACCGGAGCTTGAAATCCCAGGATATGGTTGTGCTGACCATTTTTACGAAATTGATACAGAATTGCATTCCTGGGAAGTTTTGAAAAAGATTGTCGACAAGTCTACGGAAGTATGACATATTCTTTTGTTTTTTTTTCCTTGTTTTGTAATTGCATTCTCAATTGTGTTTTAGTGGCCAAATCTGCTAATCATGACTGGGATGCCCATACGACACCGCATGCTACTTTACAACTGCATGATAACGCTATTGAATGGGTAGAGAGATTATATAATTTCCGTTCTTTTTAAGGTCCCAAATCAACTGAAGGAATGGGATTTACGTTGCTGTGAAATTTGAAAAAGCTGGCTATGATCAGTAGATCCCGTAGAAAACGGTGCACTATTATTAAGAGCATTGCGGTGCTGTTTTTTTCTGGTTTTCGTTAGATCTTGTAAATTGGTTATTGATGCTTCGTTGCGATGTATCAGGGCCTTAAATTGTGCACCAATTGATAGGGCTGGTTATGACGGATATACACATTCCGCAGAGAAACAGGATGACTTATCTTTGCTACGTCTTCTTGACTCTAAATCCGTTTTCGAGAAAATCGTTGAAGAAAAGTATTGATATACATATATACACTATATTCATTCGCGTCATCCTGTTTCTTTTTTTGTTCTGATATATGTGTAACGGTGAAAAGGTTAAACTGTGACATTTCGCCTCATCTAATTCATCCAATATACTACTTCAAGAGCGTCTATCAATCTCGTGCAAACCAAAACTGGCAGTGAACGCGTAAAACCTAATTATTTTTGTGATTGTGAATTAGTTTCTCTCATCTGCTTTTTAGAAAAATCCTAATGATCCGGCCCAAGATGATGTTGTGCGATGATGATGTCTATAGGGAAAGCCGTTGGTTTGTGCGATGGTCAAAGCCTTTCTACACTGTTGACTTTGAGCTCAGCGAGGCATATGGATTTGTTCAGGTGAGCTTTTTCTTTTTCCTGAAGGAGAAAAGGTGCGTTGAGACATAAGTCTTGCTGTATTAGCTTTGCTGGGGATATGAACATTTCCAAGTCAAAAGCCGATAGCACCATTTTTTGGATCTTTGACGAATGTTTCTCTCCAGGATTATAGTAATGACTGATATTGCCACTTGAAAAACGGTTCTGATGAGTTATTACTCCCTGGCAACTTTCTGCTGCCTTTGTTTGAGCAAAATCAGAAAAAAAAA